GACGATGATTTAACCTTTTGAGGACGATGATATAACCTTTTGAGGACGATGATTTAACCTTTTGAGGACGATGATTTAACCTGTTGAGGACGATGATTTAACCCTTTGAGGACGATGATTTAACCCTTTGAGGACGATGATTTAACCCTTTGAGGACGATGATCTAACCTTCTGAGGACGATGAGTTAACCTTTTGAGGACGATGATTTAACCCTTCAAGACTCAAAAGGGTTAAAACTCTTGAATCTGGTAATGATCACTTTTTCTCGTGCTGCCATACATCCTTGTGAAGTTTAGTTAAAAAAAAGTTAGACTCTTGTGTTCCGGACAAACCCTTTAGCTTTGACCTTCAACTGTGACCTAGACGTTTATTGAACTGATCCATCTGTACAAAAAGGGCATATATACATGAACGTTAGTCCATTTACTAAGTTTAAAGTCAATCAGATTTAAATCGATGGACTACCTTAATAAATTTTCTGGGACGGACAGACAGACAGATGGACAAGGATGCCATTTATATTATGCCCCCCTGGTAGTAGAAGCATTAAATACACCGTGAAATAGGATACAGGCAGCTTAGCACAAGAAGGAAAGAGTGTACAGTAAGGAAGAAAAACATAATAAGAACGGATTTCGAAAAGATAAAGAGAGGAAATGAAGGATGAGTTGGTGTTATCAAGATGAGGACGGTTCACACACACACACACACACACACACACACACACACACACACACACACACACACACACACACACACACACACACACACACACACACACACACACACACACACACACACACACACACACACACACACACACACACACACACACACACACACACACACACACACACACACACACACACACACACACACACACACACACACACACACACACACACACACACACACACACACACACACACACACACACACACACACACACACACACACACACACACACACACACACACACACACACACACACACACACACACACACACACACACACACACACACACACACACACACACACACACACACACACACACACACACACACACACACACACACACACACACACACACACACACACACACACACACACACACACACACACACACACACACACACACACACACACACACACACACACACACACACACACACACACACACACACACACACACACACACACACACACACACACACACACACACACACACACCTCAGGTCCTTCACCATCAGGAGGAACCAACATTCACCATCACCCATCGTGACAGGAGGCTCATCATCTCGTGATCCAAACCGGCGATCATTAACCATCTTCATACTGCGGCATCCTTCCCTTCACCTGACCCGACCTCTCATCACTCTACACTTTCACTGACTCCATCATCCTGTTTCTCCCTACCCTCACACCTGGTATGTGCATGACCTTCCTGCCTCTCACCTCACCCCTGGTAAATATGTGCATGACTACCTGCCTCTCCCTCACACCTGGTAAATATGTGCATGACGCTTCACTGCCTCCCTACCCTCACACCTGGTAAATATGTGCATGACCCTTACACTGCCTCTACCCTCACACCTGGTAAATATGTGCATGACCTACACTGCCTCCTCACCTGATAACATGTGCATGACGCTACACTGCTCCTACCCACACACCTGGTAAACATGTGCATGACGCTACACTGCTCCGTCTACACCACCTGGTAAACATGTGCATGACTACACTGCCTCCTACCTGACACCTGGTAAACATGTGCATGACGCTACACTGCCTCTACCCTCACCTGATAAACATGTGCATGACGCTACACTGCCTCCCTACCCACACACTGGTTATGTGCATGACGCTACACTGCCTCCGTCACACACCTGGTAAACATGTGCATGACGCTACTGCCTCCCTACCCTGACACCTGGTAAACATGTGCATGCTACACTGTTTTCTACCCTCACCTGGTAAACATGTGCATGGCGCTACACTGCCTCCGTCTACACTCTCACCTGATAAATGTCTTAATAACACTCTAGATATCGCAATTGCTTTCGCCATGACCGTATTTTAAAGAGGCTACCAGACTGTTGACCTTTACTGTGACCTGACCCCAAGAGGCGCCCAACAACTTGTGTAAGAGAGGAAAGTGAAAACCAGAAACCCCCCCATGACAGCCTCGGTGAAACCTCTCTAGTTGTGTACGGGAGAAGGACTCAATTAGGGACCAGAATCCAATACAAAAGGTTGAAGGTAATAACTCAAAGTCATCCGTATGATTACTGACCCCAACCTTCACCTCTCAACCATCTCCATCAGACGTAACAAGGGAGTCTTTATATATGAGACTCATTACACTGTTCTGAGCTTGTGGTGGCTGAAACTAGAGCCATTTCTTAACTAAATATGCTAACAATAAGACCAACAAACACACACATATATAACTTACAAATCAACATACATACTGATCTCTTTTGTTATTTGAAATGCAATAAAAACACTGAAGGGAAAATTTGTAATCGATAAGGATCACCTGAAGTTTAGACACCCCCGGCCAGTAGAGTTAAAAGTGAAGTGGCTACGGCGTCTAACCTTCAGGTGATCCCAGGTAAGTGTACAGTACGTTTCCCACTAAATAAATAAGGTGGTGGAGAGAGACGAGGCTTTGTGGTACAGTAGCAGGTAACGTCTGTGTACACCTGGACAAACGATTCCTCCTGACCCTCACGACGACAACAAAACACCGCCCTTAGTACCTGCCTCATCCCTCCCTCCTTTCCGCCTCCTCACATAGTTCTTTCATTTCCGTCCCTCAAATGTTACCAAAGACCGATATAATTATTTCTCTATTTGTGACAGCCCATTTTAACCTTTATACTGGCGTGAGTGTGGTGGAGGAGGAGGCGGCATTCTACGAGGGTCAGGAAAGGAGGAAGTGCGTGTTGTGAGGTAGGCATGACGGGGAGGGATATGGATCCCTTGGTGTGCCTCCC